CAAGAATGACATATGCCCGTGTTGCCAAAACTGGGCCACTTAAAGATGGGTGGCCTTAAACTCTAATGCTGGCTGGGGAATTCTGGGAGTTGAAGTCCACTCATCTTAAAGTGGCCAAGTTTGGACAACACGGACATATGTCATCCTGGGGTGTTGTTAGGATGCACAGAATGTGTAATACACTTTTGATTATTTTTTTTTCATTTGACTTAGAATACAGTCATATTCTGATTATAATAAAAGATGTATTATACGGCCACTTTGGGAGGGAAGGGGTTAAATAAAAGGAACTGCTTACTTAGAAACAAACTGTAAAACCAAAGACACTGTAAAAAAGAGAATCAGAATTCAAAATGGAGGGTGTTCTCTAACTGAATATGGTGGGACTGTAGAAGCAAGATGCAGAACACTCAATGCATCAGCACAACAGAAATAAAGTCTGAATCTACCATTGGCCAAGAAAGGGGCAGCTATAGGTTGTTTATTTCCCCTGTCCTGCAGAAAAAAAAATAACGTCCAACTGCTAAAAAGTTGCAGGAGCCACTGCAGATTTGAAGAGGAGCACTGTTCAGGATCTCTAAAGAAAACTTGGCCCCACAACATATTCATTTATTGCCTTGCATGATATTCCTGTAATTCAGTCTGAGACTTACTAGATTCCTTGGAATACATCTCCCAGAAGCTCCCTTTCCTCTTTCTGTTTGAACAGTTATCTTCATATGATCATCTGTATGTTTGCTATAACAGACCTTGGGTGGGAAAGGATAGCAAGAGATGTCTGGTTGGCAAAATTGACTTCTAAATTTGATCATGGGACATGGACATGAGAAAGCTATTTTCCATAATGTGATTGGGAGGGAGAGCTACAGAAGGTAGTCTCAACAGAAAGATCTGTAGCAAGGGGGATGCTTTGGAATTTCATCCATAATCCCACTCTCAAAAGGAACATCCAGCGATCTAGTTCTCCAGGGGGACTAACCTTACACATTTAAGTACAGTAGGAATACAGTGGTCTCAAATGCTTAACTTAAGCGCATGTCAGATACAACCAGTTTTGATCCAGGAGAGAAATTGGCTGGGGCCAGGATTTTTCTTCATAGCCCTATATAGAGAATTCCACTGGTCATCTTTGAAAAGAGGCTAGGCAGGCATCTATTTCTGTTTGGTTTGGGGGGTTTCGCATTGTGCAGGTTAGCCGAGAAGGTGACACAACCTTCACCCTCCATCTTTGCAATTTGAAAGTAATTTGGCCTCAGGAAGAGCTGGCTTTAAGAACACAACCCCATGAAGGAAAGACCTTGATTGCACTCCAAGCATGCAGGTGCCACCCTCTTCAAAGCAACGGCAGGTTCAGATGGATTGCAAATACCTATGCAAGTGGCTTAAGAAGTGTGAGAATTCCCTGCCATCCAAAGACCAGTAAGAAAGACATGCCTCTCACTGCTTCACCCTGGCTAGCCTTCCTTCCATTCAGTTTCACACATATAATGCTCTGTTTTACTTGTAGGCAGAACTGTGTGATAAGGGACAAACACTGCACTGCAGTTTTTCTGATCTGATACGGTTGCATACCTGTGTGACTGATGGGCCCCTGTTTGGGCACCTCTTAGCAGGTCAAAGCCTGCAGGTCTTGAAAGGAAGAATCCTGGAGACAGACACACACAAACGCATACTCTGTCTTAGGCAGCGTAAACCCGTTCAACCTGTTCTGTAGCTACTACTCGCTGTTAAAGCAGGCAGGTAAAACTCCAAGTGAGAAGACTCAGGACTCTTCCATATACCCAGCCATTTGATTGGCCAAGTCTAATTTCACAATTAAAATGCAGCGGAGATAGAATGGGCTCTTCACATCATTTTAACTAACAGGATGCAACAGACATTTCTGTACTATATGTCTATAGTACTGCCTCAACAGCCAATCAGAATATGCCTTTCCTAGAAGTCTCAGCCACTCAGTGCTCAGCTATAGCCAGTAACTGAGTGTTTCACCTCACCTGTTTAGTTTTGCATATAAAAATAAATGCCTCCCCTCTCCTCAATCAAGCAGGAAAAGAGTATAAATTGGAAGCAATTGGGGCAGAGGGTGTTTCCTGTATTTCTGACCCTTTCTCCATCCCTGCCAACCTGACATCATACTGAGAGAATAATGAGCTGGGAGGTGGGCCAGTCAGGTAGCTGCTCCATTAGCCCTCTTGACCATCCTGTACAAACAACTGAAGTGAAATGTAGGCATTTCTGTGGCTGCAAATTGGTTCCCCATTTAGCCCTGCAAATAATGTTGCAGTACAAAAGCAATGGCATCATCATGCTGGCTGGGGAATTCTGGGCGTTGAAGTCCATACATCTTAAAGTTGCCAAGTTTGAGGAACATTGGATTAGAACTTCTAAGGGCACCAAAAAGGGGGAAGCTGTATTAATTAAATCCCTACAATACCTTTCTTAATAAAGCTTTATAAATAGAACAAGGTATGCTAAGAATTAAATTGTTAAAATATTACCATTCAGAATATTGAAATATGACATTTGTAAGGCTCCAGATGCATGCTTGGAAAAAAACCTATTCTTGCGCCATCCACAAATTCACTGTGGCACACACAGACACACACTTGGAAAACTTTCAGAGCAGCTTCACAAACCTTTCAAAGGATGTGGCTGCTTTAATGCACTGGAGGAAGATGCCTTGTACACACACGTGCGCTTTGCAAAGCATTGCTTTCAGATGCTTTGCACAGTACTGAATTCAGTCTACAATGTCCATCTTGTCCCTGATTTTGAACTGTCTCAGAAATCTAGCCCAATTTTTGGAATTTCTCACTTCTTCCCGCTTCCGTGCTTTTTGTAACATTTTGATCGTTGAAGAATTCTACATGTGAACATCTGAATATTCTAGTAAGGCAGTTTTAGAACAAAGGTATTTAATCAGCTATGGATTATGGTTTGTTTGCATTGAACAAAATGGCTAGTAGCGTTTTTAATTCATACAAATATCTACCCAAATATTTCCTTTATTAAGTAAACCAGTATTTTTATTTTGCTTCTTCTAAGTAAGTCCATTTGTTCCATGTAATTCATTTTTTTCTCAGGAATAGGCAGCCATGTTCCATGGCGTGACTTTCAAATCACCAGAGAATATTCCAGACTCTGAAAAATTGATACTTACAAACTCTTGCTCATAGAATGACTTAAGCCAAAATTCATACCATGTTTTGTACAGTAGGTGTGTAATGGCTCCTGCAATGAATTACATCAAAGACAGAAATTATTTTCTTTATGCCTCTTTATACAATCTCTGAATCAGTTAAAATCAACTGAAATGCACTCATTAATTTTAAGGGCTAAATTAGACACATTATTATTCACATTTGTAATCATACTTTTAAAAAAGTTAATGTGAAAAGATTGAGACAGACTGTAATATGGATGCCTTAACGCCCACATGCCCCAATCTCAATCAGGGGCCTTATTATCTGTAATGAGAGAAAAGCTCCCACTGGTGTTTAAATTCCGCTGACTTCAATATGAACCAAGTACAACTAATGTAATTTGAATCCATCCCAACCATTTATTTATTCTGAAGATTGCTCTAGGAGTTTAAGCCACATGATCTGTCGTTATAGACTTAAGTTATGAATCCGTTGAACAATTCATAACTACAATTTCCAGTAGTACACTAGCAAGTCTCTTTCACACTCCCAGCTATAATTTCTGCTGAACATTTCTCCCAACTTGAGGGTTCTATTCCATCAAGATGGATGACACCACTGGGATGTCTGTAACTACCTTACTGCTTATTCTTGGATTTTTCATAAAGACTCAGTTGATCCTCCATTTAAGAGACAAGGCTCCAAAAGTGTCATCTCCTGCAAGCATTGACAATATTCAAGGATGGTAGGAGCTCTAGTCCAACAGATCTGGAGGGCTACAGGTTGTCCATACTTGGCAATGCTTAGAATATACAAGAACAACCAGAAGAAGGGAAATGAGACCTGCAATGGGAGGGATTTCACTATACTAGAGACAGATGTTTGTACATTATGCTTATTGTGTTTCAATGGTTTGAGTCCCACATCTGCTGCTTCAGTTTGGAATATTAGTCAAGTGAAAGGAGTAGGAGTTGTCTCCTCCCATCATGTTCCAATTCTCTCCATTTTTTGGTTCTTTTCCCACATTCCTTTCCTACAGATCTCCAACCAGAGAAGAGGGTTGAGCTGCTTGCTGTTATGTTTACCTTGTTTCAAGGCTGCCCAAACAGCCAAATAATGAATTCTTTGCAAGGACTATAAGCATACATCCAACTGATAAACCAGTAAAAGGGGGGAAGAGATGTTTTGCTCACATGTTCACCTGCAGAACGGAAGTAAAAGGAACATAATTGCTATCAAAGAAATGTTTGACAGGGACAATTAATACCAGCCTCCCAACCCCTTAACATCCCTTCTCTTCTCTTGGGGAAAGGGATGAGGGTAGCACATAGCAGATGGGTCAGGTAAAGATGGGAAATGCCTTTCCTCCTTCAAGGAAATTACACTAGGAACTTGTTTGTGTGTGTATGCCACAGTTGATCATTGAATATATAGCCCACAAGCCAAACAACCTGACCCAAGTAACCTCTAGAACTGCTTTAAGGGAACCAGATTGGCTTACATTTAAATCTGGCTCATGAGTGAAGCAAAGAGATCTTTATCCAAACTTCAGCTTATTAGCAAATGCTAGCAGAAGATATTTTGCTTCCTGAGGTGAAGGACAACATGGCACACGCTTCCCATTCCAGCTGAATGGCAGCTGATTCTTCCTTAAACACTGGTGATATTATTCACCAGTGAGCTACTTTTAGAAACCCTGAACAGATTCTGTAACTCGTGCAGCTTTATCTTACCATAGAAGAAAAGCCCAAGGTCCAGGAGGCAATTATCCATGTCTTTTAGCATCTACCACCTGAAACCATACCTCACTCTTTCTTGATACAGCTGCCCTCTTCTTGGGTATCAGCATATTTTCCCAGAATATGTGTATATTTGCTGCTTATGTTACGTTTAGCTTTGGCAGTTTCATCACTGAAGAAGTTTCTCTCACACATGGAAGAAGAGTGTCTTTCTCCAGGTTTCCTTAGGTGAAAAAACCCAAAGAATTATGCTAAGTGCATGGCCTACAAAACCAAAGAAGGAGCATATTATATAGGAATCTTCTTTTTGTAGTGTATTTTAATTCATTCATATTTATTTTATTTTAATTAATATTTATGCTTTTTTACTGTAAACCGCCCAGAGTCGCTCTGTAGTGAGATGGGCAGTGACAAATTTTTAAATATAAAATAAAATATAAAATAAATATCCCCAGCAAACAAAGTTTGAATAAAATGTTTTGATGCAACAAAGAAAATGTAATTCAAAGCCACTTGCAAATTTGACAGAGGTAGATGGTATGTATTCTCCAAATAATTACATGTTCAAAGGTTCGGTGCTCTGTGGAAGAAAAATGGTGCATCATGGATCATTCTCGGTTGTCATTATTAGTATTGATTTAGTAAGTGTTTGGTACTTGTCTTTTAAATTGTGACCAGATTATTTGATGGACTGTCCACACCCATATGAATAGGCTTGAGTTCTTAATGGATAGATATTTCCTCTTCAGTGGTGGGATATGAAAGCAAAGGATTTTTCCAGATTTTCAGAATAAACTTCAATCCAAGACTGGACATTAAAGATCTGAACATTTTGATTGGTTTTTAATTTAAACCTATACTATACAAATATATAAACAAAAAGCTTATGCTTCTTTAGTTCATTACATTTTTTGTGTATTATGCTTTCAACTTTGTAGACTGTCTTGATAAGGTTTCTCCTTGGAAAGCGATTATAAAAAGATGTTGTATATATAAATGATCCTTGTACTTCATACTGAAAAGAAAATGTAAATAAAGAACTAAGGTTTGAACAGGCCTGAACCCCCAACACCTCTTTTTATCTCCCCAAATCACTGAAACCTAAGACTTAGATCACTATCTACACATATTTCTTCTGTTAAGAAATGCAAACATGGCTATTTGAAATACACAAACGATACTTCAGATATCTGGCTAGAACAAATAAAATAACTTAGCAAAGACTGTTAAGCAGAAACAAAAGTTCTGGGTCATACTTGCATTCAAGACAATGCAGCACTTAGCAGAAGACTGTCCAGCAAAAGGCAATTATTAAGATTTTCTACCAAATGAGAAAGTACTAATACAGTAATCAGCACCCTCTAGTGGAATTTCAGAGCTTGGAATGAAAATTTCCTCCTATCCTGCTCCTAACAGGTTTGGCATTAATATTTAATATATTTATTCATTTATCATCTTTAATGTACTTATTCATTTATCATACTGTATTTTTATGTAGTGATTCAGGCTGTTGTCTGCAACAGTCCTCAAAGTGGCTGTAGCTTCAGAAGCCAAGGGCGAGTGTGCTGTTGCTGAACAGGGAAGAGGAATTTAAGACATTCATTTTCTGCTAGGTTATATAGTTGATAGCCCGTCTAGCTCAGCTGGTCATCTAACTCCAGGCTTTAAGATACAAATCTTTCCCAGTCTTACCTAGAGATGCAGAGAATTGAACTTGAAATCTTTTACATGCAAACGATTTGGACTACTGACCAATTCTTAGCTCAACAAAGTTATCCGGAACTTAATTTTTGTGTTTTGGGAGGGGAGTGGTGAGGAGTCCATTTTCCAAGATGACTGGTAGATTCTTATTGATGCCTGAAAGAACACAGCAATCCAGGTTATTTACTACATTTATTGTTCTCTAAGAACACAGACTGCTCTAGGAGAACATCTGTCACTTACAAATGGACCAAATGGAAGCAGTTGGCATTTTGGTGTAAGCCAGGTTCCCAAAGCTAGAATGCTTTCATCTAGCTTCTTTTTTCAGCAAAGGCATATGCTACATGAATGAGCACCACTTTTACAGGCATATTAGCATTTCTATTTACTCTTGTTTATCAGCTCCAGATGGAGAAGGAATTGGGCATTCATGCAGGAAGATGTGCCTGCAGTAGGAAAGAAGGAATTGTTGCTCATATCCAGCACTGTAAAGTGATAGTGACACAGGTACAAATTTCAAGTGTATTTAGAACAGTTGCTGCAGTCTTTTAAAAAAGCAAACACGTGGTACATCTCCTTCCCTACCTTCTATTTAAATCAATGCCACAATAATATACCATGGATGTGTTTAAAGGTTTATTTTCCTCCCAGCAATTACATCCGTATATAGTCCCAGATGTAGGAAACTCTGAAATAGCTACCTTAAACATTTCATCCGCAAAATATGAATGAAGCAAAGTTAACAGCTATCTAAGAGAAACATGCAATTAAATTTTTGTGTTTTTAAAATAAACTTTAGAGAAATCTCATTCTAACTTTTTTTTGTACTGCAGTCCAACATATAAATATCCTATTATTATTAAAGATAATTTACCTTACCTTCCTCATTTTTAGATTGTATCTCAGAAAATACCCAATTGTCTGTCAGAAATCTGGATCATTTTTTAAACTATTAACACATTTAACTAGTTAGTTTTCAATCAAATAACATTAGTAAGACAGGGATAGATTACCACTAGCAGAGGGAGGCTATCATTTGGGGACTCCACCAAAAGATAGCCACTTGTCCATAAAAAAAATTACAAGTGTTTTCCTTTTAGTAGATCTATCTAATCTACTGTGCCTACAGAGAGAGAGAGAGAGAGAGAGAGAGAGAGAGAGAGATCAGCATGGAAGTGTTATTTGGACTTTATTCCTAACAGCGATTGCATTGCTGTATCATGCTAACAGACGTGAAAAGTCTCATGCGCTCCCACTGATTTTTTGTCTACCAATGGTAGTGCTGTAACATGGGATTGTGAATCTCTGGCTTGGTTCTCTTGGAAGAGTCCACAGACTAAAGCCATGGTTCACTTTTAGTTTCATCAATGATTTCATTCTTTGGTTTCTTCTAAAAAGATAAAACCCACATTAATCAATCACACTAAGCTTGTTTAACCAACTCATGGATGGCTTACTAGCACACCTACTTGTAAGCAGAATCAGAATTCACTAAGGCATTTTTAGGATACAAATTAAAAAGCAGCAGAATATGTGAGATAGCATGTGGGGTTAAATGTGTGTGAATATAGTCACATTATTCTTTTTTTAAAAAAATCAAGTATACTTAAGAACAGGAGAAAGAAGAAAGGGAAAGAAGAAAGGACACACAATAAAGAAACAATAAGAAAAAAGGAGAAAGAAATCACAAAGCTGATAAACAGGGAATTTACAAGCACTGTAAAATTAGGTTAAAATTTTCACTATTCATTAATTAAAGTAATTGAATATACGTCATTTTAATAATTAACAAACATTATTAAATTCCATGTAATATATGAATATCAGCAACAATAATGAACACAGTATAAATCATAACGAGATTAAGAATTACAGCAATTTCTGTCCAAGCTATATAAAGACTTTATGTTAAGAGAACCCCAAATTTCACATGTGGTATAAGCCATGTATAGAGTTATAATCCAAAAAAGGTTTCCAAGTTGAGTTAAATTCAGATTTACTTTTGAAATATGATATTATTTTAGACATCAAGGCATACTCCCAGACCTTAGCCATTCTTCTGCAGTTACATTTTTTTCTTTAAAAATACAAAACATCATTTTAAAAAGTCTATTAAATTATCTGAAAGCACTTGAATTAACATTAACACTGAACACTGCCATGCTCTTGTATACCATCTACAATCCTTGAAACTGAGGCAGTTTATTAAATAAATGAACAAACAAACAAGCTACAATCTCATGTGAAGATCCAGCTAGATAATTTTTAACCTGTTTAAAAACAATTCAGTTCAGAAAGCATAGAGGTACTATATATCTAAAACACACACCAAAACTGTAGAAAAATTAGTCTCCTGGTAATGCTATATATCCATGTACTTTTCTTTTGTCAATCAACAATTATAGCACTTTAATACCACTTCTATATCTAATTCTATTTCATATACCACCAAAATGGGAGCAAAGTTATATTGGAGTATAAAAAGAGGGAAAACCCAACACATTTTTTTCTAATTACTTGAATTGTGCCCATGAACACTGTTGCTAATTGCTTAATTTGTCCTTAATACAATTTAAACAGAAACACAAAGCTTTTAAGACCTGACATAATAAGAACAGAGTTGGAAATAAAACAAGACAAACTGCAATTTCAAAATCAGAGCTTGGAAATGTTTTGCAGAGCAAGCAATCTAAATATGAACTGAAAAAAAAAAATCATTTAGAAAGCTCTGAGTACACCATATCCCATAGAATTAACTCATACTATGGGAAGTAGCCCTGAAGTTACTAAGAAATAAATAAGGGGCACTTTTATTTCTTTATAGATATACAAAGAAACACTATTTTAGCACTTTATCAAAACTGCCTAAACAATCTTGGGATACTATTTGATAATATTTCACACCAAGTCAATTTGTTAATATAAAACAAAAGGAACAATATATAAAACAAATAGGCTTACAGTCAGAAATTCTGTGTAAATATCAAAGATTTGATCCATGTTTGCTGGCCAAGACAGGTCTCAAGAGAAAAAGCAGGTGCTGTAGAGGAAGTTCTACTCAAATCCTCATCAGCTTAATATCGTGAAAATATTTTCTATCTTCCTAAAATCATACTTTTATTTGTACAGCTGCTAGACTGTTTCTAGATTAAGTGGGTTGAGTGAGCTCCCTTGGAAACTATGAAGCAAAGTATTTATGATTTGTCTCAAAGTTATCAATAAATTCAACTTATATAGACTAATGTTTGTTTGTCTAATACTACAGAGAAGTAAATATAATTTTCAATTATTAGATTTCAGTGAAATTTGTAATAAAGGTATCTTTGAAACATACAGCTTTATTTTAGTAAACTATTTATAAACATTTCAAAACAATCTCATTTTCACCACAATGCAGTTAAAAACTCTCCCTTCCCCCCAAAATAGCATTTTTATTAAGAAAAAAAAATCTATCACAATAGTTCAGTAAACAATTATTACATTTATGTTTCACATATCATCATTGTTCATATGTAGCATTTTTTGTAATATTTGCTTATTGCTCCAAAAATTAAACTCCTGTGGCATTGTAAAGGCCAATAAATTTATACCACGTGTGTTAAAGTTTACAGTGTCACAAGATTCTTTCTTAAGTGTGAAAAGAACATGAACTTCCAAAGTCTATATGAACACAAA